TTTTGTTTTTAAGTAGTCTCTACACCCAACATCGGGCTTGAACTCACAACCCCGAGATCAAGAGTCACATGCTCTATGGAGTCAGGTGATCCTTCCAAGCCACTAAGTTTGTAATCTGTGACAGCAGCAATAGGGAAATAGTACATCAATCGCCACTGATTTCATTTTCTTCACATGGTATAGCTAACACCAATTAAAAGCAATTTAAACTTTAGACACTAGTTTTCAAGTCTCCAAAGAAACAAGCATGGTGGGTATAAGACTGGCTAATTTACCCTTCTGACCTTCACTCAAATGTTGAAAGCTGGGAGAGCTGGTATTGAGCACACAGTGCCTGTCCATTACTATTCAACACGCTTCAGAGCCACATTGTTCACCCAGCGGGGGCTACTGAGTGCTGGAAATGTGGCCGGTGTGAAAGAAGATGTGCTGCAAGGCTAAAATACACCAAGGATTTTATAAAGAGGATGTAAAATAGCTCATTAATAATTTTTTAGTACTGACCACGTTATCATTGAAATGATACTATTTTGGATAAGTTGCATTCAATAAAATGCATTACTAAATTAAATTTCAATTTCTTTTTACTTTTTGAATGTGAAATGAAAACATTTAAACTACATCTGTGGGTTACATTATGTTTCTATTGGACAGTTCTGCTCTAAACAGACAATTCTAGTGGTGCCTGGGTGGCTCAGTTGGTTGAGTGTCTGACTCTTGATTTTGGCTCAGGTCATGATCCCAAGGTTATGGGATTAAGCCCTGCATCAGGCTCCATGCTGAGTGTAGAACCTGCTAAAGATTTTTTTCTCTCTCTCTACCCCTCTCCCTTGATCGCGCACTCTCTCTCTAAAAAGAAAAAAATAGTTAAGCAGATAATTCTATGTAATGATGTAATTAACATAATATAGACTATTTACCATGCTCATTAATATATTATTGAGTAATGGGCGCCTGGGTGGCTCAGTTGGTTAAGTGTCCGACTTCGGCTCAGGTCATTATCTCAAGGTTCGTGAGTTCAAGCCCCGCATCGGGCTCTGTGCTGACAGCTCAGAGACTGGAGCCTGCTTCAGATTCTGTGTGTGTCTCTCTCTCTGCCTCTCCCCTGCTCCTGCTCTGTCTCTACCTCTCTTTTTCAAAAATAAATAGACATTAAAATAAATTTAAAAATATATACTCTTGAATAATGAATACACCAATCCAGCTGAGTTAATGGATTGATTTTCATACATTTTACACATTTGAAAGCTAATCATCTACCTTTTTTATAGTCACAAGCTCCTAGAATCTGACCTCTACAATCTCAAGTTAAATTGTGGTGAGTTAAGTCAGACGTTAAAGAAATTCTAGAGGGAAAGCCTGAGGGATGTGGGAAATACTATTAGCAGTTCAAAGATAGCATTTGGCATGAGGAAAGGCAGTGTTTTCTGTAGGGGATGAAAGTGATCTTTGCACATTTTGTCGTTGTTTTTTTTCTGAGGAAAGGTGGTGTGTAAATATGAAGACATTGTTACTAGGAAAGCCTCAATTTTAGGTGATGTTTCTTTTAACAGCCAAAACATCTTTTTTCCTGTGATATAGGAATACTCACAGTGAAGGTTTAGAATTAAAAAGAAGAGGCAGGTTGCCTGGATGAAATAATCCAATTGAAGCCATTAAGAAAAAGCTAAAACCTCTGGGCTCACAAACACAGACATGTCTGGATGAAAACAGAACATGCCGTCAGAGGAGTGCTCGGGTCATAGATGCCTGGACCGTTGGTGGACTTCTATATGGTTTAGGAACATGGAGAAAGTCAATATAACAGCTTCAACATTTGGGACACATATACCTTTTTACCTGCAGATAGAATGAGTATCTCTGTCTTCTTTCAAAGACCTCATGGATATTATATCTTTCTCTTCCTGAAGAAATATAATTTCTTTTGAAATCCAGTTAATGTTTCATGAAGGCATCTAGCCAATGTAATTTCCTGGATCAGATTAATGTTTGTAGATTAAGAAATCTTAGGAAACTAGACAGAATCTGTAAGCAATTATATTTGGGATGATGATTACCTTAGGGTTCAGAGAGGAAAAAACTATATATGTGTATTAGGAATATATATATGTATATATGGAATGTATGTGTTTGTATATATAGAATATGTGTATGTTTTAGAATTAAATATACATATATATAAATGCATATATTATGGATATGTATAATATATGGATATGTATATATATGAGTGTGTACATACATATGTCTATGTATATATATATAATATATATATTTCTAACGCATACATATACATAGTTATATAAATGCGAAAGCAAAGCGATGAACATTTGGTAAAAGACAAGACAGCCATTTCTTCCTGGGTCCTCCATGCCATTCCGAGAATGCCAAGTATCATGTAGGATACGGGGCCCATGCTTTGACCTTCAGCATGAGCAAATCTATACATTAAGGAAATTATTCCTACTTTAAAATTTCAATAAGTGGGTAAATGTTATAAGCCATTCTCAGTGGGAGGATTTGTCCGCAATTTCTTGGATCACCCTCCCTCATCCCCATTTCACTACTTTATTTTGTAAGGGCTGCCTCACCCTGTATCTCCCATGTGGTGTGTCAACCATCTCAAGTGGTCTATAATGAAGTGGTAGCCTTGGAAAAGCTTTCCCTACTTCCTGATAATATCCCTGTGTATATATGTCATGGTGAAACATGCACAGAAAAGTTATCAGGGAATAGGAAAAGCTTTCCAAAGACTACTGGCATTGGATGGAAGTCAGCTATCAGCGGCATATATCCAAGTGGACTTCCATTGGAAAATGTCCTCATTTTTTTCCCCATGGGGAGTGGAGTGTAAATTTCTTGGCTTGCCAAGGATATGAAAAGAGCCCATTCATTAAAGTAACTTAGCTTTCATACTTCAAAGAAATAATTTCTCTGATTTCTTAGATAAGATACCAACTAGATATAAAAGCCCTTAGCAGGACCTCTTGTAAATTGTTAGGCCAAATCCAGAACTGTTTTTTATGTTTGCAAAGCAGGCACTTCAAATCTGAGTACTCGTGGTTAAAATTGTCAAGGCACGAGGCTGAGTGAGGACATACCAGATTTACCTGCCTTGGGGCACTACTAAGACTGGTTGGCTTTCTTTGAGCCATAAAACTTTTTATTATTTTTTCTGCATAGATTATGCCATGGAACCGTGTAGCCTTCTGGGACTTCTGTTGCTTGTAAAATGGCCCAACATTTTTGTTGGCTCCACTGCAGGGTGAGAATTGCTCATCACCCTTGCAGAGCAACTGGAGACCTCTTTCGGGGTTCATTGGCTAACCTGCACTGGAGGGCAGTTAATAAGCCAGTGAAGGAAATGTTAACATTAAATTAAAATATGTGAAGGAGGATTCCTGTGAGCGTCAGATAGGTTAGATGCAGTAAGTGCACTGAAAGTCAGAATTCAGGGAGAGGACCAAGTGCTTTGTTCTTTTCTAAGGCATGCAGAACTCATTATTGTTGATGGAAATGAAATCCATGAGGCTGAGTGCGTCAAATAAGTCAGGGGTTGGAAATCCTTTGGCTCAACTTTACTCGCCAAAGAGTTTCTCTAAAGAGAAGCTTGCTTACCCTACTGTGAGAACATTCATTATAAATCATACATAAGTAAATAATATTTCATAAATATTATTATAATTATTTCATAAACAATCACCACACATCTTTCTTTATATAGTTTAATCACATTTTTTTTTCAAATCCAGCTTCTTAATGGTGAAGGTATGGATGGATTAAAACCAAATGCTTAATGGGGCGCCTGGGTGGCTTAGTCGGTTAAGCGTCTGACTTTCGCTTAGGTCATGATCTCTCGGTTTGTGGGTTCGAGCCCTGCATCGGGCTCTGTGCTGACTGCCAGCTCAGAGCCTGGAGCCTGTTTCAGTCTGTGACTCCCTCTCTCTCTGACCCTCCCCTGCTCACGCTGTCTCTCTCTCTCTCCTAGAAATTAAAACAAAAAAAACAAAAAACAAAAAAAACAACATGGGGCGCCTGGGTGGCCAGTCGGTTAAGCGTCCGACTTTGGCTCAGGTCATGATCTCATGGTTCGTGGGTTCAAGCCCCGCATCGGGCTCTGTGCTGACAGCTCAGAGCCTGGAGCCTGCTTTGGATTCTGTGTCTCCCTCTCTCTCTGACCCTCCCTTGCTCATGCTGTCTCTATCTCTCTCTCAAAAAAAAAAAAAAAAAGAACCAAATGTTTAAAATTTACTCCCAGAGAATATGAAATTGGTCTTAGAAGAAAGTAATCTTTGGGCTGATAAACATGGTCCTAGACATCTCTTCTTGGTAGATCCTACTGAATTCTTAAGATTCTCAATGGTTATAATTGAGCCATCTGGAGTAGCCAAAAGAGTGACAGACAGAAAGTGTAACACAGCAATGATAAATCAGGACTTGCAGTCTGCAAACCATGTGCCAAATCCCCATTAATTTCAGTCTTATTTGACATATAAAATTTAGTAGTATATATTATAACAAAATGATGGTGGAGAGTTTTATTTAGCTCTTTGTGTTGCAAAGATTAGAGTCACCTATTCCAAAAATTCTTTAAAGGTTTAATGTAGCAGTATCCACATATTGCTTGGGAATACTGATAGTGTCTCAGAAACCCAAGCACAGTGTTCATAGTAGAACGATCCCTTTGGAAAATGGAACAGGAATTAGAAAATGATTTGGGATCAAAGACAAGTCTGAGATCCTCAAAAGTAGGAGCCTATTCATTTCACTCCTGGTGTCCAACTTTAAGGTGAAGTCATTATGCATCCAGTGTCTTCTCTATGGCTACCAAATGGCCTATTTTTTCTATATATTACTTTTCTGATTCCTGGAAGAGGCATTCTGGTCTCTTTGGGTAAGTATTGATTGGCCAGGCCAATAAGTCTGCTACTTCTTGGGAATTTGTTGTGGTTGGGTTTGACCTATATGCCATCTTATTTTCTGATTACATTTCTTCACAGTCACTGAGGCACAGGTGGAAAGAAGACAAAGACTCTTTTTATTTGAGAACACATCTTTTGAGTGTCTGTGAATGTAAGTGAAACTCAAGATACCTTCTCTAGGTAAGACTCAACCTATTAACCTGTCTACCTCACAGTTGCAAACCTTAGATTTCCCACATGTAAGTGACAGAGCAGAGCCAATATTAGGCAAAGAGTCAAGTAGGCAATGAGGTTTTGTTGTCAGGGTCATTCTTCCTTCTCAAACCCAGAGACATTTTATATCCTAGTAAATTAAAGACAGGCTTAGTGTGCTAGGAAGAAGATGTGACTTAGTGTCCAGAGATATGCTTATATTACACCTTTGCCCATATTCAGTAGCCTTGGGTAAATCAACAAGCTTCTCTGAGCTTTAGTTTCCTCACTATAAAATGTAACTATCATAGAAAGTTGTTTTAAATAATGTATGGAAGAAATGGGCACATGGTACATCATTATTTAATATATACTTAAAAAAAACAGAGGTGGAAGGAGTTCTTCAGGGTTCCATTTTCCAGATGTGAAAACTGGGGGTCAGAGATGTGATTTCACCTAAGTTCAAGGGACCACTTAATTGACCACTTAGTCAATACTAAGACCCAAATCTCCTGACTTCCCACCCCAACGCTGCTACAAGGTCTCTCTAGGTTTCTACACAATTCTCAAAACTTGCTCTTTAGAAAGAATGTGTGTATGTGTGTAAAGTTAAAACCTCTAGTTTCTTTCAATGAACAAGATAGATATATATTTTAAAGGACATCCTCCTTCTTTTTTTGTAATGTTTATTTATTTATTTTGAGAGAGAGAGACAGAGACTGATTGGGGGAGGGGCAGAGAGAGAGAGGTAGACAGAGGACCCAAGCAGGCTCCATGCTGTCAGTGCAGAGCCTGACTTGGGGCTCAAACTTATGAACTGTGAGATCATGCCCTGAGCTGAAACTATGAGTCGGAAGCTCAACCAACTGAGCCACCCAGGCTCCCCAAGACATACTTTTACAATTATACTAAGAATTCCTAAAGTTCTTTTTTTTTTAAAGAAAGAAAATATCTGATTCTTATTTGCTGTGAAGAGGGAATAAAAATTAAATTGGCTAAATTACTAACTGTCCTTGAGGAACATGTGTTTTAATGGTAATTCAAGTCTTAAAGGAGTGAAAGTCTTCAGCTAGTTGTCTCTGGGCCTCCGGCAGTCACTCTGGCCACATTTTTGCCTCCTGTGGCTCTGAGGTCGAGAGCAAAGCCAAGCCTCCTAACTGGCAGTCAGATGATGCAGACTGAATGGCCACAAAACCCAAGGTGATCTGGGCTCACCTGGCTGAACCCCACAATCCAGAAGTATGCTCCATGCCACACATTCCTCTGCCTTGTGAGCAAAACATGGCATGATGCAGTGGAAACTTTGTGTAATCCATTATATTTTCAAATACCAAAGAGCTGACTTTTAAGAAATGTTAAAGTACTAAATCCCAGATCTCCTCAGCAGGATACCATTAGTTTGTCCACAAAATTATCTAATTTGCTCAGGAGTTCAAGATTGTCGAAGTATGTCTACCTTCTTCCACACATCATTATTCCTTCACAAATACCTATTCTCTCTTTTGTGCAAAGCACCCTGAGAGATACAAAATGATGTCTGATGCACTTCTTCCTAGTTGAATCTACTTTTTTACTGAGATGAGAATGGAGGCTCCTTGAAATCTGGAATCTTGTCAATCTTATTCTCTGTTAGGGTTCAGAGTCTAGGACAGTATCTGACACAAAATAGGCACTTAGGAAATACTTGCGGAATGCAGCAGTAGATATATTTATATGAAACATTAATCATAGCTAACATTCATGCTCAGTAGTTTTCTCAATGCTATGTCATTGATCCTCACAACTCTGTGAGGTAGGAAGTATTAATATTCCCATTTTGGAGATGGGGAAACCAAGGCTTAGAGAACTGAGTGACTTCCCAATGGTGATCTGGTGCTTTGTCCCAAAGTCATCTGGCTCTGAAGTCCATGCTCTTAGTCACTAGGCTCTGTTGCCCCATGTGTTATGCTGCCATCTTGCTTGGAGCAAAAGGCACTCATTCCATGGTTTTAGAACTAAAATCAAAGAATGTTTACAATGAAATCACATTTGTGGTCTAAACAACAAGTAAGTTAGAAAGTTTTCTAGAGTCTGAAACAGATGTGGGGCCAAAACTTCCTGGGAGGGATAGGAAGGACTTAAAAGGTGAAAAGTAGCATTCATCTCCATTTGACTTCTAGGAGATGACCTTGAAAATCCTCTTTATAAGATGATTATATTATAAATGTATACAACATTATAATATTATTTTTTTCTTTAACCCCATTTCATCATCTTAAAAAATTTGTGTGGGAGAGAATCTGGTCTTGTTTATACTTCAGTTCACCCTCAGTACATGCATGGCACCTTTCCATTGATTTGAAAGGAACTGAGTTATCACCAGGATGCTATAAGCTTGATGGACTGGGGAAGGCTAATTACACCAAAATATCCTAGCCAAGTTTTATTTCTGATAAGCTTCCCTCTTTCATGCATTTCTTCAATTTATCCCCTTCTTTGTAAGAAGTCCCAAAGAAGAAGGAAAAAACCTCTCTCAATTATTCATATGAAATAATTTTTGATGTCTTCAGAGATTTCTCTAGGTTCTGGTCCAAGCCAGACTATTGTTCAATTGTACCTACATTCTTCCTACACTTGAGGGATTTCAAAAAATGTACTTCATGGTTTGGACCTGTTTTAATTTTCTCTAAGTTATTTATTTTCTCTTGGGGTTAAGAACATTTTGTAAATTTGCAAATACCAAAAGTATTTTGCACACAACGAGTAGGCTTAAAAAAACAATCGGATCAGATTCAGAATATTTCCCCATGGAAAGGAAGTGCACAAAATAGGCAAATGATTAATTGAAAAACAAAGCGAAGGAACTAAAATATCTTCCTGAACTAGTTCCTAAGGTATGCTCTTTTTCCATTATGAAACACTAACTAGTCTGCACTGTTTGTTTTTTGAAGTAAAACTTTGATGGAAAAATTAATAACTGAATCTGCTGTGTATTTCACACTAATATTAACATTCTTTTTCTTGCCAAACATTTTGCTATGAGCTTGGGCATTCATGCTCAGTACGTTTTCCAGCCTGTTCAGGTGTTCATCTATTTTGTTCCCATAAGTTTTCTACTAAATTTTCAATTGAAGCTCCTTGAAAGTTAGAACACTACTGTATCTTCATAGAGATTGGTAATAAAGGCAGATTTTCTTTTGTTGTCTGCAGGAAATAAGACAAACTCCTGGTTTGAATTTCACTCCATTGAGTAGGGTCTCCACAGTATGAAGATCTAATGTTGATAACCAGATCTTTTTTGGAAATGCTTGGTATCGGAAGAAGGGTGACAAACTATGCATGACTTAATTGATAAGTTGATAAATTCATTAAAATTGCTAAATTGACAAAATGACTGAAGTTGATAAATGTTTCTTGAGCACTATCTGCAAAGCCAACTTCACAATTTTCTTTTTTAATGTTTATTTATTTTTGAGAGAGAGAGAGAGAGAGAGCAAGCAACCAGGGGAGGAGCAGAGAAAGAAGGAGACACAGAATCCAAAGCAGGCTTCAGGCTCTAAGCTATCAGCACAGAGCCCAATACAGGGCTCGAACCCATGAACCGTGAGATCATGACCTGAGCCAAGGTCAGATGCTCAACAAACTGAGCCACCCAGGTGACCCTACAAAGCCAACTTCAAATTGAGATTTGCTATCTATTAAAAAAGGCAAGGATGTAGGATCTTGGAATACAGACCTAATTAGGGATGTGCTTCCTGGTACCTTGCCAGCAAATCATGGACAAGAACCAGCTCTTCTCAGCTTGTTGTTCTTTCTAACTTAGAATAACTGGGCAAGAATTTGACTTTCACACCTAAATCAGTTCCTCAGTGTAACTGACACCTTCCAATGGCAAGCAGTGCCACCATAGAATACGACTCTTGAGTTATGCTGAAATTAACACAAACTTTTTGTCCTCTGGGTCACATCTTGCTAGGGAAACATTCCCCATGCCTGAAAGATCTAATTATATCTATTTGCATAAGTCAAACTAAAAAATGTTGATAGACATTTTGTGAGTCCCTTATGTCAGGGACTCAAGAGACTCTAAAGAGATGTGACTAATATTTGCAGAAGCAGCAGTAACAGTAGTAGTAAAAGTAATAAGAATGATGAAAGTGCCAGTTAATATTTGTTGAATGCCTTCTCCCTGGGCACTGTGCTAGGCACTTTGCATGCGATAATGACTTCATTTTCTAGAACAAACCAAAACTCAGAGAGGTGAAATAACCTCAGTTCCTAGGGTGGACTTGAGAAATGATTTTTCTGTAAAGTTTAGCAGAACGTACCATGTGGGAATGTTTTTTTAAGAGGGGAAGTTTTTGTCTATCATTTCAATTTCCCACTTCTTATTGTATAGGTTTTCTTTTCTGGGCTTAAAAACTATACAATCTGGGGCGCCTGGGTGGCTCAGTCGGTTAAGCATCTGACTTTGGCTCAGGTCATGACCTCACAGTTCATGGGTTCAAGCCCCGTGTCTGGCTTTGTGCTGACAGCTCAGAGGCTGGAGCCTGCTTCGGATTCTGTGTCTCACTCTCTTTCTGCCCCTCCCCTGCTTGCCCTCTGTCTCTCTCTCTTGAAAATAAATAACATTAAAGAAAAATAAAAGCTATACAGTCTAATTTTTATTTTTATGGTGGTTGCTCTTCACTTAAGCCCATTGTCATACTTATTTTTCTATTGAGTTCTGAAATTCTTTAATGTCCGTATTTTCCCTGAACCAGATAAGTAATTCGTATATTCTCCTATAATTTTGTTTTCTTCCCCCACCATTACCCCACTTCTTATGCTGATATTTTCTAGAATAATTCTGGGTCACTGAGGCATATATTATCTTTTTCTTTGCTTTTGTTCTGCCCTTTTAAAAACCACTTACATGATGTTTAAGTCCTCTATGCCTTTGCGGATTTGCTTTTGTCTTCTTGCTCTATCATACAGAAAGAGATGTGCTAAAGTCTCCCACTAGGATTGTGAATATTCTGGTTTTTTTTCTTTTAGATTTTTTCAAATTTTGCATTATAGATTTTGAACCTCTGTGAACAAAGGATCACATATGCAAATAAATATGTATTCCCAGGGAGTTGAATCTTTACCATTGTGAAAGATTTCTTTCAGGAAAGTTTCATTTTCTTTTAAAAAATTTTTAATGTTTATCTATTTTTGAGAGAGAGAGAGTGAGAGAAAGAGTGTGAATGGGGAGGTGTAGAGAGAGAGGGAACAGACTCCAGGCTCCCAGCACAGAGCCCGATGCAGGGCTTGAACTCACAAACCGTAAGATCATGACCTGAGCTAAAATTAAGAGTCGGATGCTTAACTGACTGAGCCACCCAGGCTCCCCAGGTTTTTTGTTTTTAATTTACACTTTTCATATGAAAGAAAGTGCAGCTGACCCTTGAACAATGTGTCAGGGGCGCTGACCCCCCTGCACAGCTGAAGATTTGCATACAACTTTTGATTCCCCAAGAATTTAACTACTAATAGCCTACTGTCAACTGAAAGCCTATCCATAACTTAAACTGTGGATTAACACATATTTTCTGTGTTATAGTATATATTGTATTCTTACAATAAGATAAGCTAGAGAAAAGAAAATGTTACTAAAAATAATGAGAAAATATTGTACCGTATTTACTTAATACAGTACAACAGGATTGTACTGTATTTACTGAAGAAAAAATCTGCAAAGAAGTGGACCTGTGGTGTTTAAACCTTTGTTGTTCAAGGATCTGCTGGAATAGGACAAACGGTTCTGTGTTCTCAGCTTCTGTGTTTGGTCTCCAATTTTTGGCTCAGGGCTCATCAGCCTCTAAAGCCCAAGGCTCACCTCTTAGGAGATTTTTGGTATTGCTAAATGCCCCTGGCGAGCTTACTGTACAGACCAGGATAATGGGAGAAATTTGGGAAAATAGAAATTGGCAAAAGGAAGGAATAATTGATAAAAGGGATAAAGGAGAGAGAACTAGAAGAAGCTGTTATAGGGAAGAGAAAGAGATTGGAAGGTAGTGTTTTGTGGAAAGAAACATGTGATGACCCTACTTCAGGTGTGTGGAGTATCCCATTAAACACAGCACCATTGTATTAAATTATGTTATGAAAAAAGGACATTTCAGGAATGTCACATTGTTGAATTATGAGGTGCAAATGGTTTAACTCCAAGGGGCATGGGTTGTGTGAAAATCTGCTTTTTCCTGGCCCTGTAACCTTAACTTCTTTAAATTGTCATTTCCTCATCTGTAAAATGAGCACCTTATTAGAAGCTACCTCATAAGGTAGTTCTGGAGATTAAAGACAATATTCAGAGTTAAGATTTTGGCACATTGTAAGTCCTCAGGAAGTGTTACCTACTTTCAATGTTATTATTGTTGTAACTATAATTGTCGGCATACTAGGTCAGCAACAAAAAGTTACAAGCCTGTTTTAAGTCAGCTCTAACTAGAGATTATAACTCACTCTGGCAGCTACAAGTATCAATGGGCACTTTAATGAAGAACTAGTTGTCATAAAATTTAGATTATATCTGGTTTTTTTTTCTTTTTTCCCCCAAGTCTGCTAAGAATGGAAAAGAGCTTTCCTGAAATATTAAGTTTGTTTAATAGTTTTAAGGACCATTGATTTCTAACTTTGAGATGTTCTGACTTTCAATGTGGTTGTAGAATATAACCTGTGTCCCTGCTATCATTGTTTTTTATATGAAGTTGCTCTGACTTATTATATGGATAAAGTAAACTATATTTATTAGAGTATATTTACTAGATTATATAGATTTATTAGATTATATATTATACATTAATATTATAGATTAATTGTAATTAATATTTATAACAATTATATTAATTATAATATATTATGTTAGTTATAATATATTTATTAAAGTTATATTTATTAATATTATTATATTTATTAGAATGTGTCTGCTGTAGGAATTACATTTACCCACCAAGCCTTATAATGTACAAACCAGTACTATAATCTTTAGCTCACTATCCATAATTTCTGACTTGAATCTGTGACTTCCTTAGAGTAGGGCTCGAACCCACGAAGCATGAGATCATTATCTAAGCGAAAGTCGGACGCTTAACCTGCTAAGCCACTCAGGCGCCCCAGTCAGCTAAGCTTCTGACCCTTGATTTCAGCTCAGGTCATGATCTCACAGTTCATGAGTCTGAGCCTGGCAACAGGCTCTGTGCTGACAGCATGGAGCCTGCTTGGGATTCTCTCTCTCCTTCTCTCTCTGCCCTTCTCCTGCTCATACTTGTGTGCACGCTCTCTCTCTCTCATAAATAAATAAATAAACTTAAAAAAAAGTATATACTATTATTCTGGTGTGGAAGGTTATTGTTCCTCTTTTGCCAGAGTACATGGGGATCACGGGCTCCATAAGAGCCAACAGCTGCTTTCCAGTGTGACCAAGACCAGAACCTGAATCATTTATTACAAATTCTCTTTCCAGCATACACCATTGCTGTACAAAATTAAAATACTTACATAACACCAAAAAAAAAAAAAACCCTCGCAAAAACCTAACCTAGTAAATCCTAAACTAGATGTAAACCCTTTAAATAGTCTCCAGATATGAACGCTACTCAGAAACTAATAAAGATTATTTGCCCCATTGGATGGTATGGTAAGAAGCTATTTTTGTTGGATTGTGAAAATTCATTAAAATCTCTATATAAGCAGCTGTAAAAGTGTACTATCTATTAAAAGTTACCTATATGCTGATTTTGTTCACTGTTTTCAGATATGAGGTTTAGCATTTCAAAAAAATTAATGACTATCTTATTTTGGGTTTTGCAGATTATTATTCCCCAGAAATCTCCCTGGCCCAAGTCTTACTGCCAAACGAATTCTTTAAGAAAAAGTAATAATTGTGAATAGGTGTAATAGTGCCATAAAGTCTTATGAAATAGATGGAGCTGGTACTGTTTGATAAATTAAGAAGATAAATAAATGAAAAAGAGTAAATAAATGTCGCTAAGAAGTAGTACCTTTACCCTTCCACCTGCCAGAAATATCACCTTTGGTGGTTGTGGGTAATGCCAATTATTGAAATAATTGACTATGAGAGAAACCCTTAGACTAAAATATTGAACAACCAACCAACCAATCAATGTGTTAATGTCTATTTGGTGTATGACATTTCCTTAGATTATGTGGGAGGTAAAGATATGTTTAAGGTACAGTTACTATATCTAAAGACTTCATAATTTGATTCATAAAGCAATATTTGATACAGAAATAATAGAATTTTGGAGTATGAATCAAATAGAGAATTTTTGATAACTGGAAG